CTCGCGCCGGGACGAGGCCGCGCCCCCTGGTGGGCGAGGCGACGCCTCCCGCCCCGCCCCCCGCCGCCCTCTGAGGCGCTGCCCGGCCTCAGTGTCGCCGTCTGTGAAATGGGCGGGAGGCGCGGGCTCCCTCCCTCACGCCGCTTTCCCTCCCCGTGAATCACTCCGTTACCGCGGAAACCGCCGAGGTGACTCCGGCTGTGCTCGTCCGGCCCAGCGGTGACGGGGCTGAAGCTGTGCTGCGTGCGAGCCCCGCCCGGCCGGCGTCCTGGGGCCCGGTGATGCCCGTCACTCGGCCGCGTCGCACTGCCGGCTCACGTTCATCTGGTGGTGTAGGACGACCCCCAAGTCTCGACTGGAAAAGTCCAGCAAAGAGACGCAAAAATGATTATTCCCCATGATCCCCACGATGTATAACGAGTCCTCGCTCACTAGGCCGGGGCGCTTCGCTAGGACCGAAGAGCGACTACAACGCAGGACTCAACGTGCGTCCTCCGACGACAGCTCCTGAGAGAGGCGTCAAACAAACGCAGACGTTGCACCCGTTTCGCTAACTGGGTCTGGTTAGTTAAACTAGGGAAAGCCCCCTCGCATAGACACACGTAAATCGGGTCAGGAGTGGCGAAACCGGCCTTTATTTGGTTGAGGCTCGCTTGCTTTCCTCCGGGAGGATTTCCTGCTAAGAGGTAGGCTGAAGTAGCAGGATGCTGAATTTTGTATTTTAGTTATTATGACGAGTTGGCTTGGTTCGAATCATTTGTCACCGTTCAGATATTTTGTAATTGGATAAAGAGTGACTCGTTGCAACTTTTACACGCATACGCTGGTTGTGACCCAAGATAAATGGGATTAAGGATCCCTTAGATCAGGGGTGGGCAAAATGCAGCCCGCCAGGCCACTCTATCCGGCCCGCGGGGCCCCTAAAAAATTGAGAAAAATAATATTGATCTGCCCCCGGCTGCCTGTCACACGGCCCTCGATGGCTTGCCACAATTCAGTAAGCGGCTCTCCTCCCAAAATAATTGCCCGCCCCTGCCTTAGATGGTCCACCTGCAGGGGCTGGACTGATTTAATTAAACTGGTTTCATGATGCTTTAGTTCACTGAACCCAATCTTTGAGTGTAGGCCAGTCCTTAGAAAGTGATAGGGAGAAAAGTTTTAGGTTGTTAAACCCTTGTTGTGTTTCCTTTCAATGAATCCTGTTTAACTTGAGTGATGGATTAACATGTTGGGAAAGGGGAGTTTTGTTAACATGTTTAGCCTCTGACTGATGCCGTATGCATCTCCTGAGATCTCGGCAGAGCCAGGGAAGAAGGGAACGGATTCCCTCTTAACCCCCTTTTTACAACCCCCTTTCTAAGGACAATTAGTCAGGGCCAACGTGAGCGTCCCAAGAGTCAATGGAAAATTCCCATTTGCTTTTGTGGACCCAAGATTTGGTTGTCACAGACTAAGCCAGGCAAGATGAAATGTTATGGTCCCGCTCGCCTTGTAAACGCATCTCATCAGGGCCAGTTCAGCTGCGGTGCATTTTGTGGCAGGAAAAGTATACGATATTCTTTGGCTCATCCATGGCACAAAGAACTGGAACAAGTCCATTTAAAGTCATGGATAGCAGACATTCGTTATTCGGGGACACTCAGAACCATGAAAAATGAGCAATGCATTTGCTCAATCCAAATCCGTGGGGTCTGAGCCGCCCTGCTCCCCGAGGGGAGGAAGCACGCCCTCTCTCTGTTCGACCATATGACACGGCACAGGAACATGAATCAGCCCTTGTGGCAACCTCATTGTTTACTCTCTGTTTTGGAAACAGATGCCCCATGGGCTCGGCTTTCTTCGGGTTCTTCTGAATCTGTAATGAAAAACGTTTTATCTAATCCCCCAGAAATGTGGAGTGATGGGAAATGTTGAAAGCCTGTAAACTAAGGACATAAACCAGCTCGGCATCCTCAGCGACTTAAGCGAAGGGCAGAAGTGTGTCATCTAGCTTTTCTCATCTGAAAATCGTTCGCAGACAAGAAACATCTGTCTGTGAAGAAGACGTCTCTTGAAAGGGTGCCCAAGTCTTAGCTAGATTGTGAGCAACTACATATTACCCAGTATAACTTAATGAAGTTGCAGGGAAAAAAATCTGGCAGGCTTTGGACAAAGATCTCCAGTGATGCAGATGGCCGTCTGGAGCTTGGGGAATGGTATTTATTTGGGGCTTATTATACCATAACTAGAGTTATGGAGGGAGAAGAACATCTGGAACCAGACTACCTCACTGGAAATAATTGTCCGGTGTTTAGCCAAGAAGCCAAATATAATTTGGAAAAGAACGTGTTAGGAAAAGCAGGTGTACAGTAAAACAAAGTGTTCGTAGCAGAGATGCAGATTTGTATATACATCTTGCAGAGAAATACTCAATTCAGAATCATAATTAGGGTTGGCAGGGACCTCAGGAGGTCGCATCTAGTCCGACCCCCTGCTCCAAGCAGGACCAGCCCCAGCTACATCATCCCAGCCAAGGCTTTGTCTACCTGGGCTTTAAAAACCTCCAAGGATGGAGACTGCACCACCTCTCCGGGTGACCTGTTCCACTGCTTCACCACCTTCCTAGTGAGAAAATTCATCCTAATATCTAACCTCAACTTTCCTGCTGCAACTTGAGCCCGTTGCTCCTTGTTCTGTCATCTGCCACCATGAGAAGCATCTCACTGTCTTGAAGAGATGCAGGGAAAGGCTATGAACAGAAATATTCTGTCGTTTAGTTTTCTAATTCTTGCTCCTATGGTCCTGGATACTCTTGTGGGGCAAGGAGTACTACTTGAACTCAACAGTTTTGCCAGTCTAAAACATCATAAGTCAGCCCCTCCCCACTGCCCGCCAATTGTTAAATATGGTTTAAAAATGCTGTGATTTAAAAAAAAAAAAAAATAACATGTTTGTATAATTTGCCATCCAGTTTCTGAGCCTTTGGGGTGGATTTACTTATTGTTCTCAAGCTTTTCTTCACAGATACGAGTCTAGAAATGTTCTCGTAAAGGTGAGCTGCAAATCTTGTGCTCTCTCTTGGATCCAGTAGCCGATACTTCCAGGAAAACACGGTGGATACTGTGAGACGTGTGATGAAATTGTGAAAGTCGAGCGTGTTGTTAGAGTCATATCAGGAAGGAATGCACAGGCTCGATGGGAGTGTTTCAGGAAACAGCTGTTTAAATTTGAGTTGTTTAAAGTCTTCTAAGACCTCTATAAAAATAAGTTCTTATTGTGCACGTAGGAATGCAGTTGATCCTACACTTGTGTGCACAGTTATGGCCTAATGTCTTTTGAATCGAGTGGGAGTCTTCCTGCCTTTGGGTCAGGCCCTGGCTGTGCTATCCCAAGCAGTCAGCTTGCAGTCTGTCCAGCTTCCCAGGAAAATAGTTACTTTCAGGAACAAGTACTTAGTTTGCACCTGCCCTGACAGTTAATGCACCTGCAATCTCACAAGGGCAACTGGGTCCCTGGAAGGAGATCCAAGGTAACCCTCTAGCATTTAACCATGGCTCACCTTGTTCTTTACAACAGATCCCTTGTGAACTTCTGCTCAGCGATAACACGAGCATCAAATATAATTTCATCCTTTCTGGAAAAGTGCCTTGGCCTTCCTGGCAGATAAAGTCTTAAGCCGCTCAAAACACTGGGTTGTGTCTGTGAGCTGAGTGATCCTCCCATTGCATTAACCCATTAGGAGAAATCAAGCGATTTATCTAGAAATTGCTGCATAAGGGTAGATAAGCTCATGCACCATTTCGGAAATACGTGAGCATGGTAGTGTAGGTTAAAGGACACAGTCGAGGAGTCCTTCTAACTCTCAGAGACAGCTGTGCATTACACATTACACTTAAGACAGGTTAAAATGAGCAAACGTTCCCTTTGGCAATGGAATATGCACTCGCCATCACAGTTCACACCACAACTTTGAGAGACGCAGGATCCTTTTACAACATACGTGCCTATCTTCACTGGGGGTCGACACCTGTATGTTATTTGGATTCGTGGGATTCCAGACCTCATCTGGAATAAATATAAATCTTGGACCAATAATGACATGATCTTGCATTACCAAACAGTTGCAGTGCCAATGTAATTCCACGACTGGGAGGGCTGCTTCCACCAAGAGTTACAGGCACCGCAGGATGATTTGGCCAACTTGCCAAAGGCCTTTTTCTTATACGCAGAACAGCATCTCAGTAGTTTATGGCAGAGGTTTCTCCAAAGCAGATGAAATGCTAATCTCCTTTTCTCCCTTTGCAGCTGAATACTGAAGAACAGGTTTTTTAAACAAAAATCTGGCTTCTTTCATTGCAGACTAAATCACTGCTTAGGTCATGTAGACATCCAAGTGCCTAGTTTGCAGTTCAGGTTCTAGGACTTATTTGAAGTGTTGCAATGGCATCCCCAGAATAAACACAAGTGGAAAACTTTCCATGGTGTCTCATAACCTCTTAGAAAGGGAAAACCCTTTCAGCGCCTGGCCGGCTTTAAGAAAACAGCAGGACCACAACATTTCAAGCTGTTTCAGGGGAAACACTGCTTGGCAGTGTGTTGTATGTGAAATAATTGAGCCATTAGGGCATTTGTTACACAATGGTGCAAATTCAACACTTGACACATCCTTTGACTTGTGAATTGGGCTGGATTTTTGCTGCATTAAAACAAAGTGTGCAAAGAGTTTGGAAGTAAATAGCTTACAACTTATTCAGAGCAACACAGTAGCTTGGGAAAACATATGTCCCAGGTACATGCCCTGGGAACACCAGGAGGATCTGAGCTTCGGTCAGAGAAAATAGGGCTGTCAAAGACATGCAAGAGGTGCAAAGGATCCTGCTTTACCACCACATTAAGGACGGAGGGAAGAAACAG